TTCATTTATTTGACAGAGCTGGAAACTGATTGACTTACATACTTGTTTGTGTTTACCTACACAGTCATCACAGATGAGCCAAACAGAGTAGAGGATGAAGAAAGGAGAACAGGAGAAAGGGACACACAAGAAGGAGATACAACAGACAAGAACAACAATGGAGACAACAATGAACAGGAACACCAGAACAGACAAGAGTCAATGGGTAACATGACTGATTTAGGGACTGCAGATACAGGGCCAAGGCAAGTGAGACATCACTGCTTTCCATCCAGCATGTTTGGCCAGCAAAAGAGATCATTTCAACCACAAGCAGCAAGTGATGAGGGATTATTATTTCCTCCTTCCATCCCTTTTTTCTGTTTAATCTGATTACTAACAACTTCTAATAATTTGACATAGTTTATGATTTAATTGGAAAATAAAGTGTTTTTAAATAATAAACCCGTTTCTGATTCTGATTCTTTGATTTTTGTTGACATATGGGTGTTGAGAGATGTATCCATATCTCTTAATGTTGCTCTCAAAGTGCACAAGATTGATGCTTTTAACTTCAACATTTAAAACAATTCTTCCTGGGGGACCCCAGAGGAGGTGAGTTCCCTCAAAATAGCACTTTATCTCTGCATATGTAACTCCGGTGTAGTGTCCCCTCGGCAACAGATCACTCAGAGCTGGTAATTACTTTCCTGCATTTCAATGGACAGCATAAAACGACACGTGAGCTGGGGTCTGGTGCTCAGATTAGTTATTGATGATCACGTTGATAAATCATATAAAACCAATCACACAAAAACATGTTGCTGTGACTGTGAGCATTAAACAATTAACATTAAACTAAACAAACACAACAGTACGTTATTGTCCTTATAAAATAAAAACATACATTTTGTCCACCGAGATAATACAGGCACCTTACCCTCAAGAGAACCTCACGTGCTTTGAGAATCTCCCACAATCCATTGCCGTAACAAAGCTAATGCAGACACACGTTTGTGACACCAGATGGCGCAATTGTGTATGTGCGTGTGGGGAGTATTGCAGTAGAAAATTCGACTGTAGCGCCGCCACTGTGGGCTAAGCCCCGAATGTTTCCAGGTCCAGGCAACGCCCCTGGCTTCATTATATCTCAGTGATTAAGTGAATAATAAAGTTTCTATCAGGTTACTATCAGCCTGTCACTCATTATTTTCAGGGAGGGGGCGGGGTTTGGAGGAACAGAGGAGACGGTGATCGCGGAATCTTTTTTCCTCCTGCCTTCACAAACTTTACACACGTATTGTCTGAAAATTGTTAGAGGACATTCATACTTTGCAATCCAAGACTTAATTAAATCCACCAAAAACCTGACATGATTGTAACGCGATTATTTTTGAAAAACATAAATCCCTGAGCCGCAGCGACACGGAGTGATTCAGAGCGGGTCCTTCTGCTGTTGGTTCTGGACTGGTGGTGTTGTGTTGGTGGATAAAGCAGACTGCTCCGTGTTTGGTGTTGCTGTGCCGCTGTCATGTCTGTTCCCTGATCTCTGCGTCACCGACCGATTTGATATTAAAGTGACAGGAAAAAAAAACGTTATAGTAAAGCCGCGCCCGGAAAATCAGGAAGCAACGTTACAACGCTATAACCAATTATCTTCCGTCACTGCATCGAGACCGAATCGTCCACGTCCGCATAGCAATGCATCGTAGAAACGATTATTTTCAACACCCCTAGAATCAATCCATATCCAGTTGTTTTTGGTAAATAAAATGACTTTCTGAGGCTGTTTCTGCCCACTCTCTCTGAACGACAAAAGTTCATTTAAGTCTTTTTGTGGTTTCTTTTTCAGTTTATCAATAATCCATCATCACTGCTTCATTATACATGTAAACACTCTGAGAATTGCAACACAAATATTTTTCCTATTTTAGCGATTATTGAAAAATGACTAGTGATTTTTAAATATTTGTTTCTGATGCTTCACTCAATGCTTTCCCAATGTCTGTTGAGTCTCATTACTTGGCTCTATTTCTGTCGCCCCCCCCCCCCAAAGTGCAGGCCAGCCGGGGAGAGGCCTTAATTATCCACTCGCCTTGAAACTCATGCCAAATCACAAGTTCTGCTCACTCCTGCCTCCCTCACACTAATTGTGGTTCTGGAAGTTTTTGCTCCTCCTCTGCAGAAAAAAGAAGATACAATTAAGACCAAGTAGGTGAGAATACTCTGAAATGTTAACCTGTTAAGCCCTGAGCCTGTTTTTCAGGTCTCAGGCTCGAAAATGACATTCCCAGAACAAATGACCATATCTTCCCTTCTAAAAGGGTTACATTAATAATCTTTTTTCTCAAAGCAAGGTTACACCTGTGAGTTGGATGTAGAAAAGTCAGAATCAATATAGATGATTTTATTTTAAAGTAAATTCAGATTGAACATAATAAAAAAATGTAAATGATGGTGTCCGTCCAAAAAAAACATTACTTATAGTGAAAACCACCCTTGAATGATGGGATAGTAGACTAAAAGCTTTAGGAATCCAAACTATAACATATAAGTACCCTGTATCAAGATTGATGCAAAACAAGTGAAATTTGACCTTTTTAGAGAGATTTAGAAAAAAAAACACACTTCTGGGGTCATTTGGGTGGATTTTCAATATCTCTGGAACCCATTGGTCGATTTTGATGATTGACATCTCTTTTTAACCGTTAGAGCCAATAGAATCGAGGGGAAGTTCCTCAAATCCATCCAAACATTACCCATTGGTGAATGAGTGATGCGCAGCCAGAATGCTCAAAACCGGAAGCTGTCATACACTCTCGTAGCTATCATAATAGCTATATATGAAAACTCAGTTTTTGCCATAAATATGACGATGGATTATCAGTAATCATTTCAAAGTGACACAGACACATTGGATTAACCTGTGGTTTAACCTTCAGCAGCGTTTTTATCGTTTTAATGCCATTGAACACAACTTTTGATCAGAACAACAGCATAGGTCAGACAATGTCCCGTGTTTGCTCCGTAAAGCTCTGTGTTGTGATGTCTGTGTGTGCTTCCCCTGTCGCGAGTTCTGATCACTCAGTGATGATACCCCTAGAATCTGTGGAATCTCAGCTTGCTAATCGATTTAGACGCTTCTTGTGAGACTTGTGTTTTGTTTCGGTAAAAATGGTTCATATCGTCAGTTAGCTGAGTTTCTTCCCGTTAATCGGGTATGACACATTAATAAGTTTTTAAATGTTAAGAAGCCCCGAGACACAGACGCGGGCGGGGGCCTCCGGGTTGAACAGGTTAAATGATGACAAAGTAACTGTCTTTATTTTAGGGAGCTGATTTCTATTTCTAAATCTTTCATGTCACAAGAAATGCATACAGACACAAAAAGCATTCAATGAGCCAATTAAAAAAAAAGATCATGAACTCCTTTCTCCCTAAAAATCAACCCTTAAATGCTGTGTTCATATGTGCTCGTTTTCATGCTTTCATAATATATAACACAAAATGATTGTAGATTTGTACAATAACATTTTGATTTGTCTAAAGAAATGACATTGTCATTGAGAGAAAGCCAGAGGTTTCTGACTCGTGTGAAGATGTGGCTATGATAGTGATCCTTGAAGCAATATCTCTGAAACCATTAAGACCTGTAGCCAGTCTATAAGGAAGGTCAGGCAGCTTCATTTCAGCAATAAAGCCTAGCCTATTGAACTCAAACGTTGACCCGTAATGCACACAGAGTATTACCGTGAAGAGCACATAAAAACACAGACAGAAAATAGTAACAAGGTTTTTAAAAATGTGTTTTACTAGTTTGAAAGTGGCCGATAGCTGCTACGCTGTATATTTGTATTGAAACAGGTACTGATGTTAAACATATTAAATACCTTAGGATAGTATATATTTCTGCATCTACAGCAGCTCAAAAAACTAAATAAAGAATTGATAGATAGTTTTGAATAAACCGATCATTTAAACATTTAGAAACAGCTGATTTATCTTAATGAGTAATGAGGCAAAAAAAAAAAAAGTTACAGGAGTACTGAGAAACTGTTATTCCACGTCATCGCCTCTTTAGCTGTATGTGTGTTTTTCTTTTACACGTGTTGAGCTGAAGACCCTGGTAGTGTTTCATGTTGCTAATAGAGTGTGTTCTGTAGCTGCAACACCAAGCATGTTTCCATTATGTAAGGTTAAGATGACTCGTGAATCTTTTAGATAGTATAACAAAATAAAAAACCCTAAAGTGTAATGATAAACAATGGTAAGAAATCATAAAAAAGTAAGTTTTAAAAGTAAATATAAGACTTGTGCTTTTGCTGGTTTTGAAAAAGATAGACAACTTTTTTTGCATGTTTAAATGTTGGGTTAGGTTTTAGTGGCCAACAAATATTAGGCCGAGTGTATTCTGTTAAGCCCTGAGCCTGTTCTTCAGGTCTCAGGCTCCAAAAGGACATGCCAAGAACAAATGACTATATCTTCACTTCTAAAAGGGGTACATACAATAATCTTTTTTCTCAAAGCAACCTGTGAGTTGGATGTAGAAAAGTCAGAATCAATATAGATGTATTTATTTTTAAATTAAATTCAGATTGAACATAGTAAAACAATGTAAATGATAGTTTCCGTCCAAAAAACCCATTACTTCTATGTATTCTTCTTTCTGTGTCTTTGTATGCACCACATATAAACAGCAAATACCTACGTAATAAAACCAATGCTGATTCTGATTTCAAGAGGGGCTGATCCAGTAGCATTCAGGGGTTTATCAAAGCATGACCATTCTCTATTGGTTCAAACAAATACATTAAAGTAATGTACTGTCAGCCTGTTTTCTTCTTTGATATCTTGGCATTTGTTGGATTTGAATGTGTTCATATAATTATGTGTGAGAAGCAGTAAATGTTTTGCAGGGACTTCATCAGATGCCGGAGCAGAATTGAAGAGTTTGTGAGTCATATTTCAGGTCCCTGTCTGTCGGACCAGCTCAAAGAAAAGGAGACAACAATGAGAGGATGAATAATTGTAACAGCTTGTATTTGTGCTCTGTTCTCAATGCGAGGAATATCAATGGGGGAGGCATGTGCCGGAAAACACACATGAAGGTCACAAAGTTCAAACAGAATAACACCCCGCCACCCCCCCTTCAGAAACAGGAAGTCACCGCCAGTGCCAGTTAAAGATCACAAACAAATAAAAAGTAAAACAGCGTCATAGAAAACTATGTACAAATAATGGAGCGGTAAACTGAACATTGGCTGCGTTCGTGTTACTTTAAGGCTGTCTAACAGCCTTGTGATCGCTTACTGTACAATGTGATTCAGTACGATTCATTACAAGTACAAATTCATCAGATACTTGTACTGCCAAAGAGAGAGACAGCTGGTGGCAGCCTGTGAGTTTTATCTTTTCATTGGCAGGAAGTCACGCTCCCCTGCACCAGATATAAGAGCAGACATGACAAGGTACTGTGTTCACAACAGGATGCACATAGCCTTCAAGTTAAAAAAAAGAAGCTCCTTAGGAAAGACAGCAAGTGCCTACAATTGTATTTCAAACCATCCATGAAGAATACTCCATTCAAGAAGAAGAGAACTAGATACAAGTCAGTATTCTCCGTGTGTTTCTTCTGGAAAGCAGAACAAATGTTCTGAAGTTCTAAGGTAGAAAACCCGTCCACCCACCAAACCCCAACAGCCATCCCACCACCAAATCCAAGTCATTTTTAAATCTGTTTATTTTTATTTCATTACACCCAAGGCAGAATAAAAGTTACTAAAACTTAAGACTTTTACAATTACAGTGACAAAAACAGTTTAAGAGACCCACAATTTAAATTGGACTGCAAAAAAAAAGAAAAACAACCTTTTTTCTATTTTTGTAAAATGCCCAGGCATTCTCCAATATTACAAATACTGGTATACTTTTACAGTAAACAAGAAAAATGTAATATATATTCATATGTTTTTATATATATATATATATATATATATACTAAAACCCCGTCACCAAAAAAAACCCGGAAAAAATATAAAACAATATACACATCGCCACTACGGCATTCAGAGAAACTTCATAAGCAAAACTGAAAAAAAAATACTTGTTTGTTCAAAACACACATACACACAAATATTATTTTACCCTTGTACTTGTTTTAATACTGTAAACTTATTTTAAGACGGAGTGCACTAAATTCGTTTTTTTTAGTTTCTGCATTTCCTGATTTTTGTTGAGTCTCTTCCTTGACTTTTTGTGTGGCTTTTTGTTGTTGGACCGACTATTGAGGAATTTGATATATATCTATATATAGGTTTGTGCCTTTATATGTACATATGCATACATATACACACACACACACACACACACACTGATATTGTGCTGGGTACTCCTAGCCTGAACTCAGCATTATTTAATTTATATTTCCGTGGAAATGTCAAACTACAAGTTAAAGTTCACATTTTTTGTTGTTCAATTTGATGCTTCATAAAAAGTGTTGCATTTGTCTGAGACAATAAATAGGAAGATCATTATTCAAGGCACACTCATGTCAAATTGAATGGCAGTACAAAAACTGTCCCAAATAAATTATATTTCCTTTTTTTTTTATAGTGCCAGCATTGGAAAAGCCTTGCCTAACAACCCTGGGCACTTCAGCATCAGCAGACCCCAAAGCTCTCCACCCTTCAGCACCTTTCTGTCCAGCTCTCTCTGTGTCGGACGGGGAAATTATAAAGTGCGGATCTGTTGCTAAGAACTCTAGATTTATGAATTGACAGCAGCTATGAAGGTGGATGGGGTTATGATGTTTAAAAAAACAAAGGGGCATGGAGCGAACTGATGTCTTACCGTTAGTCTTACTACTTCCGCTCACATTGACATATCATTTCCTCTTTTACACAAAACTGTCCTACAACTAATGGTGAAACCTTTGAGGATTCCTATTCTTAGTGGATTCCTTAACCACATGGTGACTTCAGTAATCAGATTATACATTTATAGATCACTATGAAGATACAAGTTAACATTTACTCTACCACTTTTCAAAAAAATGTCATGAGACATTTGAGCACAAAATGCATAGGGTTATAAAATCAATCAAATTAAATGTTCTGCAGGAAACTAAGAGTAGTCTGCCATGTATTCACACACATGTATCTCTCTCTAAACTAATTCATTTTATATTTACAAGCTGTGACTTCAAATATAAATGAGTCTAACCACTTTAAATTGAGGACAAAGCCTGGGCATTAGCCTCGGGGGGGGGGGGGGGGGTGTTGTACTGTCGCTAATTCCAACATATGGTGAAATGGAAATGCAGAAAAATAATCACAAAAGTAGTAAAGCTCACCCTGAGATGTCCCTGTGCTGTTGTCTGAGGCTTCATGCTCAGTTTAGTCCATATCAATAATGGCCTAGATCATATGGCTTGATGCAAAGTATAATGAATGGATGTTTGAATGTAAGTAAGATGGAGGGGCTGGAAAGCAGAAGATGGTTGTCGTAGCGTTGTCGAGGCTTGGGACCACGTACCAGTCAGCAGCTGCCTTATCCAGATGTGTTTCCTCTGGTAGTTCTGTTCTCAGCAGGAACCTTGGGATCCTCTTTGATTTTAGATTTACTGTCAAATATGACGCTCAGTGCTACATATCCAATTATATTGACATGTTTTAGACTCAGTTCATGCTACAAGGATTGTTGTCCGCGTATCATCATCACACAAAATAGACTAATTCTAGCATTCTCAGTTAACGCCACTTTCAAATTGAAGATTGAATTCAGTCTCTCTTCAAGAAATCACACGTTTAGCTTAATATACAATTTACTACAAGCAGCGGCCAAAAAAAACAAAATTGACCTTTGTCTTCTGAAAAAACTCTCAGGATAACATGGGGTTTCAAAAAACAGAGAAATGCTAAATCAAGTAAAACAAATATACAAAAAAAAAGCCTAAATAATAATGTACCTGCACATGCCAAAATACAAAATTGAATAAATACAGAAATGATTGCACAGTTAAAGGCTCCACATATATTATAACTCAACTGACTGATTGTTTAAAAAGGAACCCCAAATGAGGCAGTTTAGACAGCCTTAAGTGGTGTTAAGATCTCTGTTTTCTCATTTGGCAGTTTCTTAAAAACACAACATTTACACAAAATGAACATTTCAGAAAAAGAGTATCCAGCTACCCCATTTTGTAAGTTTTTTTTAGTCAAAGTGTGGCGCAAAGTCTGGAAAGAGAGACCCCAATTTATGTTCTTTCGGCTTCTTCAATTTTGACTTCATTTGTCATCAAATGTTCACCATGCCACTTTTTCATATGTTTTTCCAAGGTGCTGTACACGCTGAAGGGCATTTGGCAAATGTCACAGCGGAAGACATCCTTCCCATGCTGGCCGTGTGTCTTCATGTGGCGTGTGAGCTTGGAGCTCTGGGCACAGGCATAGTTGCACAGGTCACACTTGTAGGGCCTCTCACCTGTGTGGCTGCGCCGGTGCACCGTCAGGTTGCTACAGTTCTTGAACACCTTGCCGCAGTATTCGCAGGTGTCGCACCTCCTGCTATCCTTGGAGCCAGGCCTGCCTGGACCTCCACCCAGGTGAGGCGTGCTGCCTCCACTTGCGGTGCCGCTGCGTCCTGAAAGACC